TACATGAGCTGTATGCTTATTTAAAATAAATTTCTTCGTATTTTAATAGTCAGTGGTATATATTGCGGATAAAATATCCGATGCTTCACATGTCCCACCGGATGTTCGGTTAGGAGTGAGCAAATCAAAAACACAAATGACAATAGGATGTAGTGAACAACTGCATATTGCGAACTTGCCGATTACACCGTTCCCATGCGTTTTATTCACTATCCAAGCATATCGTCCGTGGTTTCCGTGCAGAAATGGAGGTGGATTGATTTGTTTTTGTTTTTCTGCTATTTGTCTGGGTCGTTTGGATTACGTGATATGATGTAATGTGGCCAGTGCACTGACGACACGTGCTTTGAACAAAGCTAACGTGGGGGCTTAAATAACAACTTCTGAGAGGGTATTCCACGTGTGGCAAACACGCAGCGAGAAGAAGTTTCTTCGACACTCCAACCGACTGTATTGTTCTGCCAATTTGAGATGATGACCTCTCAGTTGGCTGTTGTGACTCAGCTTTCATCGGTGATGACAGGAATGATTACTGTTGCTTGATATTTGGTAAACCATGATTAGGTCGCCACGCAAACGGCGATAACGTCCGCTGTAAATGCCAAGCATTCTGAGGCGCTGTTGGTATTACAAGTGGCGCAGCCCCTTGTCATTTTTGGTTGCCCGACGTTATGCAAGCTCCAAGACCGTGAGATCCCGCTTTAGCCATGGGTGACAAGCTTGAATTGCATATTCAACTTGTGGGCTTACATAAGCGTGAAGTACTTTGCGGCATATCGACGGTTCGAATTGCCCGCAAGCTCTCTGTAAAAGCCCAAAGATTTGGATCCCCTTTTTCGATGCCTTTTTGGACCTCCGAGCAGCCGAGCTCTTCCCGAACCAACACTATGAGATCCTTTTCGACAGAACTGTGTTGCAGATCCTGGTCCCACAGCTTATATGTGTGAAACATTCGGTGTCTTAAATGGAGCACTCGACATTTAGACACATTGAAGGAAAGGCCATTAATGACCGACCATCTATAAATTTTCTTAAGATCGATTTGGAGCTGGATATATTCTTCTGGAAATTTGAGCACTCCCCAAACTTTGAGGTCATCAGCGTGGAGTAAACAGTTTGACGCAATTTGACTCACTAGATCGTTTATGAAGACCAAAAATAGACGGGGCCAAAATACCGAATCCTGTGGCACTCCGCATTCCACGTGAATTGGATCTGACATGAACTCACATACTCTCACCTCCAGACGCCTGTGCGCGAGAAAATTGCAAATCCACCCGAGGAGAGGATCCTCAATGCCACGTCCTTGAAGTTTGGCGAGAAGGATACGATGGTCCAACTGGTAGCAAAACCATGGTAAGCCACATCAACTCCAGCACCAGCGTCCACAGTTTCGCTCCAGCTGTCTCGTGCTAACCATATATTGGTTGTGCAGAACCGATTCTGGCGGAAATCGTGTTGATGCTGAACAACGTAACCAAAGCCGTCTAGATAAGATATGATTGCGTCGATAATGATAGCCTCCATACCTTTTGAAAGAACTAGTGGTAGAGTCATTGGTCGATAATTAGCTGGGTCGGAACGACTACCCCCTTTGTACATGGGTGCTTTTATTCCGTGTTTCCACATTACAGGATCATACCGCTCTTCAAGATAGTGATAGAACAGTCGCGCCAAAGGTTCAGCCAAAATAGTAGCCGCTACAGCAAGCATCTTTAGGCGGATGTCGTCATTTCCTGTACATGCCTGCAGGCCCATGGAAAACAGCTTTCTCATCACGATGTCTGCGGTAAAGTTTGTAGTCAGTCCTGCTGTGGGCACCATAGATTCCAAAGGTTTCGCGAGACCACGGGATGCAATGAAACGTTGGTATATATTGTTGTTGTAGAACATTCAATGCTTATTCAGCAGTCCGAGTTAGACCATCCGCTGTTGGAAGAGAGGGAAAATCACTTTTCACCTTGCGGAGGCTGTTCACGTGCTTGTACAGAAGCTAAGGATTTGAAGTCGATGGCTCTACTAAAGCTTGTTGACAAGTTATTTTGTCTTCGCGCACTAATTGGGTACAGTGGTTACGGTGAAGATCATATGCTTTTCAGGTACTCTCGCACGGATCGGTTTTGTGAGTATACCACGCCAAGTTGCTCATCACCATGCGTTTGTGTGTCCTACTCCGTATAAACGACGTCATGTTTCTCGAACAGATAGTCTTTCTTTCCGATGCCTCACTAACCAGGGTGCCAAACCTATTGACGAAACGTTCCCAGGTAATATCGGGTGCATCCTCGATTAGGAAACTCCAGTCGGTCGCCTCAACGAGTCGGGTTAAGGTGTCATAACTGGTTCCAGTTCGCGTTGTTTGAGTTCGGTCTTTGGGATATTCCGCATAACAGGTGTATATGAAATGCAGAGTCACATGATAACTGCTACCTAGAGGAGTAGCGATTATAACTCTCGATCATCAGTTCTTCATTAGTGAATATTCGGTCCAATATGGATGGCCTGTTATTTCCCCTGAAGCTGGTGGGCGAATTGACATGGTCATAAAGCAGAAAATCTGAGACAATATCCTGCAGGTCTGCTTTGAATTGCTCTCCTGATGTGGCCTTTGATCCTAGAGCATGTAAGTTGAAATCGATAGCAAATAGAACGTGACTGTATTTTCTGTTTATCACCTGCCTCAATCCAGCCACCGATTTGCGGTCCATATCAGGTGTGAACGATGGTGGTCGGTAAACGGCAACCACTAGGCCAAGATAGTTCCCTCTCATCCGGAAGTTGCAACAAATGCAGTCATATACATCGGTTTTCGAATCATGTATGGATTCGAACTGCACGTTATTACAAAATTAGAAGCTACCCCACCACCTTTGCTGTCTTGATCATTCCGGACAACAGACATACATGTTAGCGCGATTTCGGCATCCGGTATCTCACAGCGCAACCACGTTTCCGTGAAAGCGATGAAGTAACAATTTGCTGAGCCGTGTCGAAGTCTTAATTCAGCTAATTTGCTGAGTAGACCTTGAGCATTAGAGTACATGCATGAGAGATTCCCGGAGACTAAAATTGTTTTGGGTGGAATGAATGAAGTAAGTGAATTTAAGCCGGCCGATGTAAGGTCGGCGGCTAATCGTTTTTTTGGATGGGTTGCAGACTCTTGAGACGTATTTGGTCTATACTCAAGTATCTGATGCCCCGGATCCCGGTGTTCGCTCACACCCTGCTGTGTCCCTCCGGATACTATAGCTACTGCTGAAACCATCGCCTAGTCGGGTCCTACTCAATCAATAATTGCTCTCGTTAGAGCAATACTAAAGTTCCTTAGGCTACCTTTGTCTACTAATTAGGGCTTATCACACTGGCTAGCAAGAACTCAACGGGTTGAACTCTGTACTTGTGAAGGTTCTTCTCAGCTAGACTCAGCCAGGTTAGCCAATGCACATCCAGGACAGCGCTGGACGCTTTGGGACGTGTCAGTGGTGCGCATCCGTCGGATGTTACCGGATTCGAACCCACGACGTTACTCTTAAGAGCTTACGACTTGTGACACAAGTTGATAGCGGTAGAGCACTATAACTGTTTTCTAACTGCGATGTAGCGCTGCTCATCCTCCGCTGTCATATTTGTTCACAACGTTTCACCTTAGCAGCTTAAATGCCACCACGATTGGTAGCGGCTTGCAAAGCTGATCGTAGCATTAGGGCCACTGTTGCCTTCTGACCCTCCTGAACATACAAGGAGCGATAATCCATGTTATTTCGCAGTCAAAAATCAGTTTTGGTGGTCCACCGCCGTCGCCTATGACACAGCGTAACAATTCGCAGACGCGGAAGAGTAAAGTCATGATTCACATTCAGCAGAATCCCAAAGGTGCGCATGACTGGCGAGTCCCAATAGTACGAACATCTGTCTACCGCTTTTCTGGATATCTGTTGATTGTCTGAATGAGTCCAGCTATAGTGAAGGTTCTCAAGATCGCATTAATCCCGTATTCTTATCTAAGCATTTGATATCTTGTTCCAGGGTCGAGGACAATGGAAATTTATCAGAAAAATACCGTTTCCTCCTAGTTTTACCGGTTTCCGCTGATTTCGTGATCAAGTGGAAAACACCATGAAACTCACCCGAGTCTCCAAGACAATGGGTCGTAAAGTGTGGTTCATTTGTGGTATTGTCAAAACAAGAACACATCAAACGGAATACCCAAGACTAATGGGTTAAGCTTCCAAGCGTGCACCGACATGCTTATTGGACGATGCCCTCAGTAAACGCAGTGCCCGTCCCGCCTCTATGTTGATTAGATCCACTTAGCTTCCATACCCACGCATGCAGCCGGTACGGACTCCTATTGCTGACTATGTGCCTGGTAACAAGGGCATCACGAAAATTGGTGGTGAGACATCAGTCTGACAAAAAACAAAAGTACACAAGCATACCTTCGGCGCATTAATTTACGAAGCTTCTCACTTCATTTAATCACTCAAATTTAACTTCGGTGTGATGGACTGGTTTCCAATTCAGGGATTCCTAAGTAATACATTCAAGACGTCGTCGGGCTCTAAGTTCTTCACCGATCGCATTCGCAACCGACCTGTTACTAATGTACAGTAGTAACAACAAAAGAAAATGTTTTGTTGGATTACTTCAAGGATCAAATCTGACAGACTGATGAATGCCAAGCCAAGCCAAGCCTAGCCGGGCCTAAGGAAACGCAACCCCCTAGCCACAACAGTGTCCCTCATATAATTTTGAATAATAATATCACCATGTTCTTACTTCATCATCTTGTGAAGCAATGTTCGAAAATTTAGCAGTTTACACATGTCCCCCTGTCGCGTGGTATAGTGAGGCTGAAATCGGAATTCGTTATTTGCCCTATTGATTAAAATGCTTGATCTAACCATAACTTGACTGCGATCAATGCGATTTTTTTCTTTTATCAATACACATATTTCCCCAACAGTATATAAATTCCTCCCACGTATTATTTGCTACAGTTTATCCAAACGTTGCGCACACCTTTCATACTGGATCCGCAAAGGAGATTAGACACCGCCCACAATTTTCCACGGCTTCATGTCTCCCAATCAAACAGCGGGGACTGAAATCCGCCTCCTCATTGTGCCGCTGATTAAGTGCAAACCCCCAACGACTGAGGTGCAACTATGCAAAACAAAGTCAGTCGAAGCTCGACCGTGGTCAATTCCAACCGCTGACGTTCTAGGTAACGGCATCATCGATATACCACGGTCAGCGCAATACACGGACTGTTGCCGGGAAGTGGGCTGTCGCAATACATCCGACAAAAGTAAAAGTAAGCCGCACACAATTTTTAAATCAAACAAAATAAAATAAAACGTTGCAGCTACTTCTGACCGTGCGGAAATTCAAGAAGGTATCTGTAGGTATCAAATACAGCAGAATTACATGATACGGAGTTTCACCACATGCCGTTGACCACAGCATCCCCGGTTTCTGCCGGCCAGGTGAACTGAAGAGCCTTGACTAGGTTCTATTACGAGCATAAGGACGGTCGAAATAATCGAATGCAAAGTGCTTCGGCCGTCGAAAGTGTAGGAAGGCCTTGACCTTTCGATCGGTGCAGTAGAACCTTGTATACAACTCTAAAAGCACGCTTTAGATCCTCTTGACGCCCACTGTCTGCAATATGAGCCAGAATGGAACTGATAATGGCCCGGTGCTGCCTTGATGCAACCAAGGTAGGCAAGGTTCATTCACGCGTTTGGAGAAGTGCCGCACAGATCGACCGAGATGGGTTGCGCCACAGGCGCACTCGAAGTGATAAATAACCATTGAGGCGGTCAGCATGGGCAACGTATCCTTGTTTCGTGAACCGGCGAGTGGTTCCGTCGAAAACACGCACTTTAGCGTAGCTGCTGCGAAAGTCGACTTAACTGAGCCCCAACCCTCATTCACTGCGTCCCCTTTGAAAAGTAATCATATGAATAGCTCTTTCTTTGCGGATGTTAACACTGGCACTTGTTTAGCCTATTCCCTAAGATTTCTTAAAATATATATCTCGGGGTATTCATTTTCGCGCAACATTTGCTGTATGAACGTCACTTCCCCATTTAGGGTACCTTTCGAGAATCTTCGCCGTGCTCCCGTGATAAGACGGTGAATCAGCTTGCGCTTATATCTCAGAAGTATGAAGGTGTGAAAAATCTTGTACTGGCCAATCCACGTTGGCATTCTGTAGATCTGTCTCTGGATTGAACCGTCTAGTCTCCTAGTTAACAGAACATCAAGATGCAGCAGCTGATTTTCGGTTTCTTTTTTATACGTAAAATGCAGTGCTGCATGGGCTCAATTAAAACGGTTAAGAATTCCAACTAGGTTAAAGCGCTCATCCACTACAACGGCCATGTACCGATAGTGGCCGTTAAAGGTGACTATATCTGCCTGAAATTCTGTTCTTGTTAACTTTGCCATGAAGATATTCGCCAGCAGTGGACCCAGGGGAGATCCCAGTAGGAGATCCCGGTAGTATTTGCCGTTAAATACGAACTGTACATTCAATGTGTTGCGCAACAATTGGCATTTTAGCCCACGAGTATGTATGCACATTTTTATTTCCGGCCGGGTTATATACTCGCAAATGTACTCTACTTTCTTAATCAGCGAGACATTGATAAAAAGCGAGACAACACCAAAAGCAAACATCACTTTTCCGTCAATGTTGGCATTTTCGATGCCGTCTACGAATTGGAAGCTGTCACGTAGGTTGGAAGTTGCAAGCAGTTGTCCCAATAGTTCCAATTTCTACAATTCACTGAGCGACCGCACGGTAGTGAGCGTTGACCATTAAAAACTTGGACAGAGTGAAATGTTCGCTTTGTGAATCTTCGGTAACCCGTAAAGACTTGGAACGTTTGTGCCACTAGGTTTGGGGATGTCATACAGAGAATCTGATATATACCCCTTAGTCCGCACTTCTTGGAGGCATACTATTGATCTGTGTTTCAATTTGTCAACGGAATGAGGTCAAGCCCGTAAGGTATAAATAACTCCTTTATATATTTCGTCTGTTACTTTTACTACATTTTTAACCGTTGGATTGATGAATGAAGTCGTAAAATACAAAGATGATTAATTGCAATCTAGCTCATTCCGATGCTTCGGGTACCGCTCCCTCTGTTCTTCAACAGATGGATAGCGCACACACTGTTTTCCCACAAGTATAAAGCCTATAATAATCTAGCTTTGGATTGCCAATGCTAATGTGTTTGAAATTTCAGCAATAGAACTCGATGTGATAAACTCGTATGTGTTGTGATGACGAGCCGAATCATCTTTTCTTCTTCCTCAGTGTCGTCCTAATTTTATTGTTATTTCCTTCAAATTCTTCATCAATACCGATGTTTGCAGTATCGACGCTAGCCAGTGTATAAACCATATTAGCATTATAATTATACTATACTCCTTCGTCTTTATCAACCTTGTCATAAACATCCTCGCTGCCATAACCGTCGTCATTGCGGAGGGGTCCATTTGTTATGTATGTTGTCTGAATGGCTTGTGACGCGAAGTCTCAAGGTGGACTGCAATTCCCACTAAAATGAATCGCAGTCAATTCGGTTACTTAGACCGCAACTTTTGAAATGAAAAGAAACTATTTGGTGCTCATCCGAAAACACTGCACTTCACAGCGTGTTTCCACCCACTTTATTCTCACAAGGTAGAGAGAGCAACTATCGAATCTCTACGCCTGAGCTGTGAGCCGCCGCAGGCAACGCTTGCCGTCACCTTTAATCATTTTGAAACATCCGATTTGTAAAATGCATTGCAACGTGCAATCACTATCAAGACTATGATTCACGGCGAGTTGAATTCTAATGAAATCAATCCCTAAAACCTTGCTTAACATTGATCAACATCGTAATTCTCAAAGACTACAAAGTTACCGAATCGGAGATCCTGTACTTGGTTGGATTGGCAACTTCCTTTACCAACGAAAGCTCCAAGTACGTGTTAGGGGATCATTTTCTAACCCAATCGAGGTGAAATGTGGTGTCCCGCAAGGCTCAGTGCTGGGACCGCGTTTATTTCTGGTGTTTATCAACGACCTGGCAAGAGTCATCTCCTCAAACTTCCTGCTTTTCGCTGATGACGTCAAGATATGGCGGGCGATCAGTAACAAGCCAAATCACGATCTGCTCCAATATGACCTAGATTGCATTTACGAATGGTCAAAGAGGAACAAGCTTCAATTGAACATGGCTAAGTGCAAAGTGATGCATCTACGTCACCAGCCGATGAGCGCTTACAATATTGGAGACCACACCTTGGCGAAGGTTTCTCAGGAGCGTGACCTGGGTGTATTGGTACAGAAAGATCTCGGGTGTTCCAAACAAGCAGAGAAGGCCACGAGAACCGGAAATCAACACTTCGGCATTCATCGCAGAGCCTTCGGTCGGTTTGAACCATCAATATTTCCCCAAATGCTTAAAGCCTACGTGCGACCTCACGTGGAATATGCTATTCAGGTGTGGCAGCCGTGGCAGAAACAGGATCTCATTGCTCTCGAGAATCCTCAACGACGGGCAACCAAGAACGTCAGGGGCCTCTTTCATCTGTCCTATCAGCTTCGACTGAAATCTCTACGAGTGTGCAGCAGTCGATATCGGCTTTTGCGGGGGGATCTCATAATGGTTTACCAGATTCTGAAGAACCCAAACCCCATTTGCCGTCTGTTGCTGGAATTGAACCACAACACTAAACTAAGAGGTCACCCTCTGAAACTGACAATTCATTATAGCCGGCTTGAATGCCGTAGGAATCTCTTTTCTCTCCGCGTGTGCCAGCCTTGGAACGCTCTCCCTAATTATGTCGTCTCTGCTCCCAATCTGGCGATATTTAAAAAACGTGTTGATGATGCATTGTCTCACTTACATTTCACTTTATGACTTGTTAGCCAGGGGCTACAAAACGCAATCAAACAGTGTCTTGCAAAACACCTAACCAATGGATTGATGGATTTATACGTTTAATACGCGAACATCTCTGCTATTCCACATAAGTCTATGGTGAGTCCACCACAACGCTTTTTACTTTATCATGCCATTGATTTTCGCAATAATTTCCATCCTACGGGACTTGTTAAGCAATACCTTTTTACCCGTAATAAACCATTGTTCCATTGCTCCATTGTTATAATCATCATTCGAAACTCCGCATTTTGTTACTAGTATTTCACCGTGGTTGCCGAGCTAAGTCAAAGCTGAATCCGCTGAAAGAAACGCATATAGCATAGCATATATGACTACTCGATGAAGCGAAATGGCTTCCGGAATGTAACAGTGATGGGGACGGAGAAAGTTAATGGACTATAGTGATGTAGCTTGACCTTGAGTCACAAAGGGTGTTAATGGACCGAAGAAATCCCTTTGAATGCTTGAGAATGCGAACATGTAAAGCATTGGGAAGCAACTGTTTCGATTGAAATAGTGGAAATGTGCTGCTGTCTACTAATTGGAACCAGTTTAGCTTATACAAGAAATTTCCGTTCTGTCTGGTCTTAAAATCCGTGTCAGCAATAGCAACATAATTACCAAATGCAACAGATCAATATATTGTTTGGTTCTGAACTGCATGTAGTGTGTCTGGATGGGGACACGCAATCTAACTTGCGGCTACGTTTTACTCTGAAGCATAATGTGGATATCCCAAAAGGTAACCTTGGAATTCTAAACGCTGCGTCAAGCGCTATTCGCGAAGAATGAAGACGTTGCTATCAACATCTAAACGGTCAATCGCTCCGGCCATCTCCCTCTGGACAGTCGAAACCGAATTGGAACCTTGTGGAGTGCAGCCTTCGTAGTCCTTTACAGTGTAACTCCCAGTAGATCAGCCATTTGTAGATATGCTTCGACGTTTACTTAAGATCCAAGTGACCTCGCCAAGTATATAGGACCAATTCGTTTACGTCTGTCCAAATACCACATGGCCGCAAACAGCTGACTGTCGTGTAAGGATGGTGTGGCCATCTTCAAATTAACTCTCCAGCCGACCTCTGCGATTTTTATTGCCCGACATCCTGCTTAAGGTCATCCCATGGAAAACATCGCCATTAGACGATGTAAACAGTTGGTTAGGTCAAAGTGAGACCCTAGACACACCACTGGTGTCGTCTGCAAACAAGGCTCATTGGTGTCGGGCGAAAGGAAGGAGTGTCTGTTGTGAATCATGGACTGGAAGTTGGGAAAGGACCAAGACTAACTAGTTCATGAGTCAGTGAGTTTATTCCCTTCTACCATATTAGTGTTCGTTCCCTTTCAAGATTTCGCTATTTAG